GCGCGTAGGGCGCGACAATCGGGGCGCGACTGTCGCTCCCCGTGGTGCTGAACCAGGGCGCGGCAGTCGGCTGGCGCCTCTCGCTCTCCGTGGTGCCGAGCGCGGGGCCGCCTCCACGTTTTACCCTCATTGGCACTGATGTCAAAAGCAAATAAGTTTTATTTCCTGTTATGCAAACCAGTACGTTTCTCTACGAGCAGGAGCTCTGTAGAGGCCCAACTTCTATAGCTACAATTTGCCCAGTCTTTTTATGTAGTCAGTGTGGTCAGCTGTAACATTCATTACACCGAACGCGATGAAGGTAAGCGCAGCGATTTATTTACCTGAAAATGTGTGCCATGCCATTTTGCAGTGGCTTCCCAAAAGCCTGGCAAAAAGACAAAGAAGTGAAAATAAAAGCAAGCATTAGTATTTTTCAGGGAGTTCTGTCAGTTAGCAAATAGAGAATATTTAAATGAGCAGCAGCATTTTTTTCATATTGTCAAGCCTCTAAAAGAGGGGTTCAAGTTTAATTTCCTAAAGCTGACCTAGGGAATATACAACACAAAACTTGATTATCCCTTTCAGGATTTACGTGGTTTAATTCTGTTCTGAAACAATTGCATTCTTACCTTTTAAGGATTTTAAAAAGTTGGAAATGCAGTTGTCATAAAATTCATTAAAGGTATGTATTCTATTTCTGGATGTTGCCCAAAGTATCTGAGATTCAAAAGCCCTTGTAGTTCTCAAAAGAAGAAGAAATTGCACCTTGAAATCATATACTACTTAAAGACATATATTCTGATGATTAATCAAAAACAGGGATATAAGTCTGTAAGATGACTACCTTTTTCACCCTGTTTCTCCACTTAGGTATTGCTACTTTTTGTTTTGGGAAGCTTTGAACTTAGTATCACTCTGCTGAGAGAAAATTCATTAGTTTGTATATGGACAGTTCTTGTAGAGTGAAGATCTTTGCGATGTGGTTTGTTTGTTTTGCCAAGGGCAAACTACTGCTGTCTCCTCAATGCAAAGTCAATTGCTCAGCTCTGAGAACTTTCCAGTGCATTGTCTCACAGAGTCTACATACCCACAAACACATGCAATACAAACATACTACCTTAAATTCCTCTAGGGATCTCTATATCTGAAAGGCTCAAATCAAATATGCAAATATTCAAGAAATAAATCTGTAAGGAAATGCAGCTTGGAGACTAAAACACACCTTGGAGTAGCTCTTTGGCATATCCCATTTTCCTTGCGGCATTTTAAGGTCTAATCATATAGCAGATGTGTCAACTATATTCTAGATAGATGGTTAGAGGGTAAATGGGATTCTTTCTCACCAGGAGGTAGATTGGGGAGTTTGTACATCTGTCACTAAATCTTTTTGGTTTTTCTTCTTTCTCCCCCTTCAGTATGCTTCTCAAGATTTAACTGTCTTAGGAAATCGCCTAAAGCTAACTGCACTACAGATTTGTAGTGGTTGTTTCTGACACAACCTGACTGGTAGAGGTTAATATCGCAGAACTGAAAAGGGGTTTTGACTGGGTGTTGGTACTGCCACACCTCTCCCAGCAATATGAATTGCTTTTCACTAAGAAAAGGGAAAAAAGTATGCAGCGGTGAATTAAAAGTATGTTTGTTTTCCTTTAAAAACATCTATAAATGCAGAGAGAGAAGGAGGGAGGGTGGGAAATTTCTGAATGAGATTGAGTCTGGAAAAAAATTTGCAGCTTCATTAACTGGGGCTTGAATGGCCATTAACATGTAATTTGATGATACAAAATACAGAAACTGAAAAAGGAAAGGAGCAACTTACTATGGCTAGCAGGTAGTTAAAGCAGATGGAAATACTGCATCTGTGGATTTTCTGTAATGTAGTTCTGAAACAATGCTGCTGATATAGGATGAATCAAATAATTTTTAAGTCATAGTGTTGAAGTAGTCAGAGAAGCTTTGTAAAGAACTGCTGTATTTTGATAATGTTTGTATAGCAGAGCTCTCATCAATTAAGCAAGTAAATGGTTTAGGACTACTTAGCTTGATTTACAGGTATTGGCTGAGTTGTAAAATACTGATTTCTAAGGAGATGTTATAAAACACTTAAACTATTTTCTGCTGGTATTTGCTCCCATTCTGACTAACTTTTGAAGCTTTTTTAAACACTTTTTTCCTCTTTCATAACAGTCTTTCTGCAATGTGTTCTTGGGTTGTATTGAAATCTGTCATCATGAAAATAATTTTGATATCATCATCAGATTTGAACTTACGTTAAACTCTATTCCGACTTATTCTGCAAGTTGGTTTTACACTTTGGCACAGAAAGCAAACTTGTACGCAGTTAATAAAACTAAATGTCTCTTAATCATGCAGGTAATAATACACTGCTTAGAAATAGCTGTAGTAGAGAACAGCATAACATGAATGTACTGAATTGGATTGCTGAACACCGTAAATTTACATAACTCCAGCAGAGCCAGCAATGCAAGTGTAGAACAGCTGAACATTTCTCTCAGAAACAGATGCCATGTAGTAGCCCAGTGGGGGGATTATGTGCCAGTCATACAAAGCAGTAGTGGTGATGTCTTCCCTATAACTGGGGAAATAGTCCTGTATAATTCGGTTTGTAGTAAAGAAGTGTGCTTTACCTATATCCAGCTGCTTCTCATCTTTCTGTCAAGGTCTTCAAGTCTACTTTTTCCTCCTGTAAAAACTGTTTTGGTTCAAGATTGTGCAGATAATTCTGGGATTTTTTATTCCTGAAAACTAGTTAAATTGAATCTGGCCAGTGGGCCATCCGTCTGCAACATTCTTAAATGGGCATCTTAGACATTACTTCTAGTCAGTGGCTAATGTTATTCAACTGAATACCCAACCCATGTCTCATAGTCATATGCTATTATCTTCAAATGGATCTCCCCTTTTAGTCTGTATTTCTTCTTTGTGTGACATCACATCTGGTTGCTTTGCACCTGAGTTTTTGCCTCAGCTGAAGGTATTCTGAAGGTTTTACTGTATTTGGGCGGTGCAGCATTGTATCTGTCTGTCATGCCTTAGCCAGGCCATGATTGTTTTAAAAACCCTTATAAAATGCACTTGTATTTCATTAGTGTTTAAGTTGTTTCTTGTTTTCTGAGTAACTTTAGAATATTAGAATAGTTTTCAGGAGATAGGGCCTGCATGTTGTATCTAATGCATGTTGTATCTAATATTTATTCTCCTTTTTTTCTGCTCTTCTATCTTCTCCTTGTCTTAACAGGAATAACAACTTCACCTGTTCCCCAAACTGACAATCTAAATTGCATGGCAATTAATGGCAAGTAATTTTTCCTCTTTTTCCCTTCCATCTGACATCATGTGCCTTCCACAATTACTACCTTGTTTTCTGGAAGGGAAAAGCTAGGTCTAAGGGCTCCTATTTTTTTTTAATTGTAATTTGATAAATATTTGTAAGTGATATCTGCTCTTGCTTCCTCTCTCTTTTCTTCTTCAGAAACCTGGGTACAGTTATCTTATCTGGCATGCCTTAACTTATTACTGGTACAAATCCCTTTGCTCCATTGTAATTTGGGGTGAGGAAAATACCTCACTTGTCTGTTTTCTGCAGCACATCCAAGGATACCCATATAAGAAAATGGAATTTCTACTAACTGTAGCAGGATGCCATATGTTCTACAGTGGACCCCACACATCCAGTCAAAAACCTTGCTCTACTGAATGGAATGGAGTTTCCCCCAAGTATCTGTTTCTGCCAGCCTCACATTATGCACTAATGTCTCTGTCAGATCCCCTTTTTTCCCCCTCAGGTAATATTCTACTGGTGAGACCCAGTCTTGGAGACACTCAGCTGCTAGAGCAGAGGGAACAACATAGCCTGATTTCCCACTCTGCCTGTTGTAATGGGTGAACTGTTTCTCAGTTCACTGGTGATTGCTAAAATCATTTGGAAGGTAGCATGTTGTTGTGTCCCAGCCTAGAGACCTGAGGTTTAAACCACACTTGACTCCTGGCAGCAGATTGCATGGCTTCTGAACTTGTGAACCCCATTCTTCTCTTGTTGCTCAGCATGTTGGTCTATAAAATGCAGGGCAGGTAATGTGCTCCTTTTGTTGAATCTTTGATTGCAGAGTGCTCTACAGCTGTAGATTTACCTGCTGGCATGCTTTTGATTTCTCTTACCTGGTTGGCTCGTTAATGGTTATTCCTGTTCCTGGATTTGGACAAAGTGCGTATTTCCAAGATAGGCTATTGTAACATAAACCTCCTAATTAGCTCCCAGAAAGCCTCTCATCTGTTGTCCGGTACAACTCTAGGAGAAAGGAAAAAGGCAACAGTGAATGACCAGATTGGGTGCACTGGCCATTCTGTCCCTGTGCCAAAACATGCTCTGTATCTGTTCCTCAGGTGAGGACATCTCCTACCCCACAATTAATTGGAATGTGGCATGCTGTTTTCTGATAATTAAGTTTTAAGGTACAGGTCCTGTAATCATTTATAAACATGCTGAGCTGTAAATGCAAGTGGATTTTTTCAACCAGTGGGATATTCAGGCAAATACTTAAGAAGAGTTGATATTTCAGTGTGGGTCATATGCAAATAAACAAAACACAGGAAGGATTGTAAGTCAAGTAGTTAATACGATACTGATCTGTACTTGGCAGTTCAGCAAGTAGAAATGGGTTATCAGCACATCAGATTACAGGTACTTGAGGAGCGTATGTTTAGGAGCATGAGGAAAGCATCTGTGGGTGTATGTGCCCCTGTGAGGCTTTATGCCTTTATGTATATAGTAATGAACATAAAGAAACCTGAAAGTAAAAAATGAATATTTTTCCCTCTGTTTAATTATCAGCTTAGTGAACAGTGCAAGTCCTCTGACTTACCAAGACTTCTGTTTTATAGAAAATTAAGCATAAATGTTTAGCAACAAGTGTGAAAGTGAAAAATGGTTGTTGGTTGTTTTCATCCAAATGTTGAATGTTAGGTGGAGGTGGAAATCTGTTAATGTTCTGTTCCTGGAAATAAATTATGCTGAACTTCATGGCATCATTCTCTAAATAATTAATTGTAAACAGAAGACATTAGAGATTAGTTTGGAAAGCTTGTTGCTGTAATAAAAATAATTCAGTATTTGTTTGCAGAGTTTCTAAAGGAATAAAGTACTAAATTTTACTTAGGCATGAATTAAGCTAATGCATGAACACTGTTGAACAGCTAAACGATATTGTCATAGTAAATTTTCTGTGGAAGTATATTTTTGGGGGGAAAAATTCTCAAGTCCTCACCCTCTGTGGATTTTATCTCAAAGGAAGACTGGTG